CTCCAGGGTAGAAAAGAGTGAACATGGTGGTGAAAAAGGGGAGGAAGAGGGATAGACTTTCCATTCCCTCCCTCACCGTCATTCTACACCTGCACAACGAATAGTAGACCAACAACATCGATCTAAATGGAATGTGAGGCATGGCAGGGAGCAGAGAGTAACACAAGTTCTTAAACTTTGCCATCTCACCTCCCCATCCCGCCTGTCTTCGCTAAAATCGCACCTGGCATTAGGGAGTGATGGTGGTCAAAACGGAGGGGAGGGGAGGGGAGGAGGGGGACGATGAGAGGAGACCGCTGCAGTCCAATCGCAGCCGCCTACGGTCACCTACGCCGGTGCGCTGTAGGCAAAATGATAATATTTTCAGCCCAAACCCAGACACGATGGGGAGAGGCTCGAAGTGCGGCATTTGTAATGGCTGCAAACACCTGATTTCCGTGTAAGAGGAGAAGGGTGGAGGGGAAGGGTAGAGGGAGAGAGAACATTTGCGTGACGATGCTATGCTAATGCACTTTGTTTTATCGCACAGTAATTCACCTTAAATTGGGGTGAATTTTCACCCACGTGGGAGCACTTAAACCCACAGAGAATGAACAAATGTCGAGACGAAAACTATTCAAAATGGTTAAAAGATTGGTGCTGAATTTCGTATTGTCGATGTGTAAGGTTGGATTGTTAATGCAGCAGAATTCGATCCCCCCTCCCCCCATCCTTTCGGGGCTAGCAACAAGGTAAAAGCACAGATCGTGGAGATTGAAACACGTAAACTAGCTGAGTGTCGTTGCCCTACTCATCCAATGCACACTTTTTCAGACCGTTGCGTTTGACCTCACTGCAAATCCTTGACCAATCAAATTGAAACTTCAGTTAAATAACGACACATGATACCTTCACGATGCAGATGTGAAGACCGACGAGAGATGGACCTCCGTCTTTGTGTAGGCACAAATAAAAACAGAACGGAGAAGAAGAGGATGGTTAGGAATTGGGATGCAAAAACCCAGTAAGCGCTAAAACCGTCAAAGATGTTCTGCGCCTCGAGACACCAAATGATGATGTCAAAAATGATTTCACTTGTTTTGAAAGATTAATGAAACTACTTGTGCACAAAATAATTGAGCCTCGGAACAACTGCCACGTACATCGAAGTTGCTATCAACCGCCGAAATTGTGTTGGTCAAATACAGACCCATCTGGAGGTGATAGAAGGTGGAAGAAGAAGGGAACCTGTGAAGTTGTTTTATCACTCACATCACTAGCGTTTGCATGCATGTTCATGGGGAGCACGTTTAATCTTACCCCGCTATGGCACAGCCCAGCTATCTTTACCATGAACAAGTACCAACAATAAATCATCAAACTTCCTAGTGGGACCAAAATATGGCACTATAAGCAAAGTGCATCGATAGAAGTAAATGTGGGTAGCCACCCACCAAATCAACGGCGTGGAAAAAAAAGAGAACATAAAACAGTATGAGTGTCTTTATTTCTTGCAAAAAAAA